AGTGCCTATAGCCCAAAGTCCCTAAGGACAGTGGATGAAACAGTGATGAAGTTTGTTCTTTCTGTTGCAGCTGTCAAAAGGCAGCCATCTTGGGTGTGGAATGCTGCCCTAGCCTTTGCTCAGCCCACATATTCAAAAGTAGAATGGATTCAGAGTAGCTGATCTACTGCCTCGGCTTCCATCTGTATCCCAGCTATCAAGGGGCGCCTCCTTTCCTTTAGAGGCCAAACCCAGAAGTGGCACACACGTCTTCACATACGTGACATCATTTGGTCAGAAGCTTCAAGAGAGATTGAGCTTGGGAGTGTCTCGTGAGGAAGCTCGGCATCTATTCAAACCTGGAGTGTTATTATTGTAAGGGGAAAGTGAGAAACAGAAATGGATTTTGGGTGGGGAAAGAGCTCTTTTGCTCACAGGATACTTCATTTATTTGGACAATTTTATTTTTTCAAGTGCTGATTATTCAAAAAAACCATGATGAAAACCATCCTGTGTTTCAACGACTCCAGCTAGTGGGCTGTTGCAGTCCTTGAAGAGGTGCTGCTGGTTGTGTTGACAGCGTGTTTTCCTAATGGTCCTTCTCGATGGGGACTTCGGTTGCTGCTGGTCCTTGCATTGCTCCCTCAAGCTCCAGCATGCGCAGATCCTAGCTAAATACTGTGCTTTGGCTATCTCCAGTTCCCGGGTCACACAGTTCATAGGTCAGCTGAGCAACTTTGGATTACCGAGTAAAGTACAAACTCTAAGTTACTTCTTTGGCTCACAAATCACTAGGCAAATGATTGTGTTCTTAGTGGTCACTGATTAGTCGTGTTACTTTCTGAGCCTGCTCGATGTATGTTCAGGGTCCAATGTGTATATCGATTGCTGTTTCCTTGCCTCCCGGGGGTAGACCCATGTGACAATTGATTAAAAAAAAAAAAAACTAATGAGTGAAAAGGGGATCATTTAACCAGGATGAAAAGGAAGGAAGGAAAAAGAAAGTGAGTGGTGACTATGGAAGTGAGATTCTGGCCAAACTTAAATGGAATTATAGGAGAAACTACTGACCCAGAGAATGACACTGTTATCATTTTGAGACACCTACATGAGATGGAGAAAATTATTAGTCAAAGTTTGTCAGGACCAGCACTATGTATCTTCCAAGAGTGATCCATCCCACCAGATGAGAAGGATGTCTGGGGACATGGGCGGTGGGGGGGGTGAGTACCTTTCCTGAGCAAGTACCATTTGCTGTGAGAGCCACGAAGATATGAAGGAAGTGGAAGGAGGGGCCATAAGCAATGCTGAATTTCTTTCTCATTGTTATATGGTGAGAGCTCCTCACCAAGCATGCAAGACTCACTGTCCCTTGACTGCTTAACACAAAACACACACACACACACACACACACACACACACACACACACACACACACACACACACACACGCCATGGCTTTGTCCCCAAGGTGAAGAAGAGCTTTGATGCTGAAGGAGTCAGATGGTCACACAGCCCTAAACCTAGCAAATGTAACACTTTCAGTACTCTGGCTAAATAAGAAGAGATAACTATATTCCTAGCCAAATGTATTAAATCCTTGCCTTCTGTCCTTCCCTGTTCATAGTTTGCTAGTTCTGAATCAACCTTTTATTAAAAGAAAAAAGAAACAAAATACCCTTGAGACATAGTGAAGCTCTTCAGAATCAACTTTAATAATGTCTCTCTCTTAAAAAAAAAAAAAGCAAAACACAAAAGAACAAAAAACTTGAGTTGCCAGGCTTGCCCAGTATAAGCTGTAACCTACCCATTTACGTGAGAATCCATGCTATTGTATTCTCTCTCAATGCAATTAATTCTTTTTCTGGAGATGAAATGGTACAATTTCACCATCCCCCTTCTGAAGCCTCAAGCATTAATTAGAGTTGGAAGTTAACATGTCCATACATGATCCATTTCTCAGGTGGGTGTTGAGCCAAGATAGACAGAGCATATATCTGTAAGACTTAAGGGACAAATCATTCCTTAAATTACGTGCTCTTAAATCACATGATATGTAGAAGTAAGCAGCATGGCCCAGTGTACGTGCAAAAAGGTGCCCTCAGAATACAAACTCTGTCGAGTTACCTGCTCTCCAAGGTGTTTGATCTCAGTCACAGAATCATTGTGATCATATTGCATCCAGATTACTGTAAGAAAAGAACTAGAGAGAATCTTAAGACAAAGACAAAAGAGACGGGCAGGCACTGGGAGTCTGTCTCTTACATAAACTTTTCTTGGAATATTTGAGTGTGTTTTTTCCACTTTTCTCTGTGAACATGCAATCAAAATTACTTCAAAGAAAGAGCAAGACAACCACCCTAAGTTGAGTTGCATGCTTAATATGTAGCCTTGCCTGGCCTTAAACTTACAGTAATTCTCCTGTTTCAGCATCATTTGTGTTGGGATAACAGATATGTGCTATGCCTGACCTACATATTGATTTAAGGCAATTTTTCACTGATCTCTTAAGATTAAAAAAACTGCAAGAAGATGAAAAAATCAAAATGTAAACCTTAGGGCAGAATATTAAAATCTCAAAAAACTTTACCTTGCTGTTAATTTCATTCTCCTCACAACCCCACTAGAATCCCTAAATTGGGCTGGGCGGTGGTGGCGCATGCCTTTAATCCCAGCACTTGGGAGGCAGAGGCAGCGGATCGCTGTGAGTTGGAAGCTGGGCTGGACCGACAGCCTCCAAAACAAAAGAGAAACCCTGTCTCGTTCAGAGACCCGCTAAGGCCATGTTTTTGCAATACCTTGTTACTAATTAGCCTGTGTTTCTGTATCTGTTTGAAAGCAATGGAACAGAGTGGCTTTGATAAGACATGTCTCATATTTGCTTATCACAGAGACTTGGTAAACATGCTATAATTTAGGGAAGATGCTTGGAAATTGTGTATGTGCATGGTGTGCATATGCATATGTGTGTGTGCATATGTATGTGTGTGTATGTGCATGTGTACATGTGTGTCTCTGTGTGTGTATGCCTGGGTATATGTGTGTTTCTAGAAGGCAGAAAGGAAGTGGTTTCTTCAAACTCTCTCTAAACTTGGTAAACTAATAAATACACTATTAAAATTAGCTATTTTTAACTCAGGAAGGATCAAATTCATAAGGATTCTGAGATGTATGTGGGGTTTGAAGACTGACAGTTGTATGTCTGTATCTTGTGAGTTTGCTTAAGGCTAATCAGAATTTCCTGGCTATTGGGGACATACAGAAAATAAAATCATATCGCACTGCAGAATGTCAGCTTCAGATGCGGGTGAGGACCCCTACTGCCTAGCTTTTGTTAACAATTTAATTTGTCCCCACAAGCCTTCTTTCTGATGCATGAAATTGCTTATAGAGGGTATATCTTACTTCTGTCATACACCAGCCAATAGGACTTGGAAGTAATTTGAACCCTCAGGATGATGATTTTTTTTTTTGGTGGTGGTGTCTTTTTTCTTTCTTTTTTCCTTTTGAAGATAGGGTCTCACTATACACACCATGCTGAATTCAAACTCACAGAGATCCACCTGCCTCTATATCCCAAGTGCTGGAATTAATGTCGAGTCCCACTTTGCCTGGTTAGGAAGATGATTTCCTTTTGTTTGTTTGTTTTTGTTTGTTTGTTTTGAGACAGGATTTCTCTTGTTTTATTTTGGAGGCTGTCCTGGAACTCACTCTGCAGACTAGGCTGGTTTTGAACTCAGAGAGATCCGCCTGCCTCTGCCTCCCAAGTGCTGGAATTAAAGGTGTGTGCCACCAACGCCCAGCTCTGGTTAGGAAGATGATTTTTTTCTTCCTCATACAAATCAGGCTATTTAAGGATTCCATTAAGCACTGCACATTAAAATTGAATGTGAGGGCTGTACTGGAAGCCGGAGGAAGGGAGGAAAGAGACACCCAAACAGAAAGACTGAAGATGGGGAAGGCTAGAAACTAGTACACAATTTGTTCAGGACCAACTTATTTTGCTGGGGAAGTCTCATTTGCCTTAATTTCATTAGCTTTGCATTAGCCGAATGGGAGCATAAACGGAGGAGTTTCTTACAGAGGAACTACTTAGGGAGATTCTGTTTCATTAATGAGGGTTCATTCGTCATCAGCAAGCCCAACCAGACTCATCACAGGCTTTCGCTATCCAAGAGATAATCCTTATCTTTGCTTCTCTTCCAAGTTGGTCTCCAGGCAGGGTACACTACAGCTCAAAGTTAGGGTTGTCCTTCTCTGAAAGTTTCATCACTTTTCTGTGAAGTCATTTGCCTGCCGCTCTCTGTTCCCGGGCAGTTTGTGAGAAGCAGTGGGGTGAACAGACTGGTTTGAACCACACCTACTAAACTTCAGTTCCTGCTCTGGCCAGAAAGGAAAGCTTGTGGAAAAATAACCAGCGGCCTAGATTATTATTTGCTAGTAGAAATTAAAATCACCCCGGATAGTAAAAGGGCAAACGAGCCCTTCTGATATTATAAATATGTTGACGTTGACATCTGTGTCTAAGGCACCATGTGGCTTGGAGCAAGCTGCTGCCTATTCAGTCTGCTCTCGTATTTTCAAAGCTTAGGGCTCTGCGGAGAACAGAGAACCGTCAGAGTAAACTGGAGTGTGAATGTTTCTTCTAGGATTTACTCAGGAGCCCACTACTTACAGTCTTTTCCAGAGCTCTTGGGTAAGCCTAGCGCTGTGGTGAAGGAGCGTCCCCCAGATCCACAGCCATGACTAGTCTGCATTCCCTGTTAGATATTTTAAGACGAGGGTGTCTTTGTGTCCTGTTTCTGGCCCTACTTTTGGGGGAGTGAGCAGGGTAACCGAAGGTGTACGTGACTACACGGCCTCTCTTATCAGTCCTAGCACCTCCACAGACATTCTGCGTCCTTCCAGTGGGACCCACCTCAGTGGGCGGGGTGGAGTCTTATCTTCCAGTCCTGGAGGGGTCAGGCAGGTGCTGGTGGCGATAGGACCGGACTACAGTTCCCAGCATCCTCCGCTCCCGCCTGCCTCCTGCCGCCTGCGGCCCACACTTCCAGGTTCCCGGTTCCAGTGGCAGCGAGTCTCGGACGGCGTCCGGCACCAGGGCACTCCGGCGGGTCTGCAGGACCGGCGCTGCCCAGTCCGGGCGGGACATGGCCTTGCGGCTGGGATGGCTGGGCTCGGGCCCCTGCTGGCGCGCGCTGCGGGGCGACTATGGCCAGCTGCGCGCTTGGTCCCCGCGCAGCGCGTCCGCCCGCGTCCCCCGGCTGCCTGGCACCGCTGGTACCGAGTCTCGCCGCGGGCTGGGCCACAGTCCCTCGGCTGGAGGCGGGTCCTGGCTGGGGACCGGGCTGGCCGCGGCGCTGGCCGGGTTCGCCGGGCTGGCAGCCGCCGCCTTCGGGCACGTGCAGCGGGCGGAGATGGTGCCCAGGAGCTCGGGGGCGCGAAGCCCCTCGCCTGGGCGGCCGGAGGAGGATAGTGACGAGCTGGCCCGCCGCTGCAGCGCCTTCATGACCTCGCCAGTGACCGACCTGCGTGAGCTGCGGAAGAGGCCCGAGGACGTGAAGACCAAGATGGAGCTGATGATCATGGACATCCAGGCCCAGGTGTGTCGGGCGCTGGCCCAAGTAGACGGAGTGGCCGACTTCTCTGTGGACCGATGGGAGAGGAAGGAAGGTGAGCGGAGCTCTCCTGTCACCTACCGCGGGATGGAGCCGAGACTTGGGGGTTAGGTTAAAGTGTGCAGTACTCACATGGGGATTGATCTATTAGAAGGGACACCCTTAAAAAGACAGACACCGAGAGAGCCGCTCTCTGCTTATAGATGTGGATCCAGATGTGCCAACAACTTAGGACAGGTCGTTTCAAAATATTCACAATTCATGATTGCACTTTTTATAGGTTTATAAAGGAACATTTGCAGGCAACAAACTAGAGCTTGCAAGTCCACACTTCAAAGTTTTTTACGGAACAGATTTTTTTTTCCTTCTATATTTCATCTGCTGGTTAGGGTGCTTTTGTCCCTTGTCCCATAGAGACAGAAGAACACTGATCCTTCATCCTGAGTGTCTCCAAGAAATCCTCTGTGAGGAATCTCCCTACCTCTGTTGGGGGGTTGTAGAAGAAATATATTCGATTAGTGTTTCAGTAGCTCTTACTGGATTGGATATGTCAGATTTCTTGAAGGAAAACATTTCCCTGGAATCCCAACATACCCAGCCATTCTTGTGGAGTCATGCATGGGTGACCATGTTGTTCCCTGTACAGCAGATGTTGTTCCCTGTGTACCCTCCCCTGGCCTCCCCTCACATTTTGATCTTAAACGTGAGGGTTGCTGACCATTTCCGAGCTGGAACTATAACAACATATCGAGTCAGTACATTTTGAGCTGTGATACTGTCACATCGATGTTAGATGACATTCGGTCTGTTCTAGTTTTCCATCTTGTAACATAAAGGCCGCTGACCCGGGCCCCAGTCTCACACACTGTAGAGCGAGCTTCGTAATCTTTGGAAGTTACTGTCTTCTGCCTGTGTTTCATAATTTTATGAAGCTATGGCTATATGTAGAGTGCTTAGGATGTCAGCATTTGAAAAAAAAATTCGCTCACTCCTCCCAGCTGTGAGATCTCTGGAGTTTTGTTCTGCTTCCCTTTGGTTTCTCTCATTTGGAACACTCAAGGGTTGTATTGGGTCATTCTGCGACACATACACACTCTTACCAGCTCTTAGAAATAAAGCAACCCAAACATTAAGTTTTGAGAAGCAATGGCTTTTGGGAGACCCTATTGTCTTAAAGAAAAAATTTCACTAAATTCTTATACCTAAATAGTAATATATGTTTCATTCAAGATTCTGAATCCCTTAAGAGTTTGAATAATTACAATTTTTTAATTGCATGTAAAATTAAAGGTAAAGCAGGTTGAGGGAAAAATGTGAAGCGATATGGAATTCTTGTATTCAGCGAAAGTAGATCACGCACGCCTGCCTGCCTGTGGCACTAGCTTTCTGTTTTGCGAATGACAAATGAATTCCTTTTATCGATGTTTGAAGAAGGTGCTTTGGTGACTTGTTAGGCAATGGCACGAGGACACAGAGGACACAGTCATTCTAGTGGCTTGTGTCTGGGTTCAATGTTTGCCAAGTATGAACAGTCTACGACAGAATGCTAAGCTAATCAGCTAGTGTACTGCACATAAAAAATATGCTATTATAGATGGTTTTGGAGCTAGAGGAGGAAGCCAACGCCTCATGCTGCTGTGTTCATGGGAGAGTCGTTTCCCATTTGATGTCCCCCACGCTCTGGCTTTCTGATTCTGTGTACAGGGGGTGGTGGCATCACCTGTGTGCTTCAGGATGGGCGTGTGTTTGAAAAGGCTGGGGTGAGCATTTCTGTCGTTCATGGGAATCTCTCGGAGGAAGCGGCCAACCAGATGAAAGGCAGAGGAAAAGTCATGAAGAGAAAAGATGGTGAGTCGGGTAACTCTCCCTGCCAACTCTTTCCCCACCAGTTTTACTTAAACATAGCTCTTTCTTCTGGAACTTATGCCCAGTGAGCACGTTCACATGCTTTCACTGTGGAAATTATCTTAAGGGCCACATTGCAAAGCGGCCTCTGATAATGGATTCAGAAACCACAGGGGAGGAATGTGTGTCAAAGCAGGCGATTGAATGCATCTCAATATGCTACTCTCCTTTCCAGGTAAATTGCCATTTACTGCTATGGGTATAAGCTCTGTGATTCATCCCAAGAATCCTTATGCACCCACAATGCATTTCAACTACAGATACTTTGAAGTAGAAGAAGCTGATGGTAAGCCCCTCAAGGAGCTGTGCAGAATATCACTGTGCAAAGTTTGTATTTTAAAGAAATCGAAAAAAGTGAGAAAGGACAGGATTACTTTATTTTTCAGTAGTGCTATAGTGGCTTAGTCTTGGTAGGGTGTACAGGACTTGAAATATCAGGATATCGATTCTCTCCAGTGTTTCCTCCACACAGAATGATTTTGTGAACCAAAACTTTAATCCCAACACAAAGCTTTTAGCAAATATGAATTTGTTGTTTGTGAAATTGAGGACTTGCCATTGGGGCACACACACAAATATGTGTGCCTGAGGGCAGAAGTTGGGGTTCCCCACACACTCATTTAAGAAGCCAGGAGCTGGGGAGTAAAGGCAGGAGGATATCTGGAGCCACTCAGTACAGCTAATTGTGAGTTCCAGGTTCAGTGAGAGACCACGTCTCAAAGCAAATAAGAGGGTAAAGTGATTGAGGAAGACATCTACTGTCAGCTTCTGGCCTCTACACAAACGCACATGGATGCATGTGCACCCCTGTGTACCTGCACACACACAAACATTATATACTCATGCACACATATGAAAGTTAGTAACTTGCATTGACAACTTGTGGATAACAGTGAGTACATGAAACAGTTGTTCTTACACGGCAGATTACTCTCTTAGCGGGTGTTTTCTCCCTCTATGGGGTAAATGGAATGTCAGTGGCTTTGGGGGTAACTCCTAATAGTAGGATCACCAGAATCTCCTGCATTGTTTTTTATGAACTTTATGTGTCTGAGGTAGAAATTGCTTTTTCAAATAGTGGTCTAGTTGAACTGTTTGAACTGTGTGATCCTAAAGTTACGCCAACATTGAGATTCATAAACGAGACCAGCTGTACAGAATGTTATTACTCACTGTTCTCTCATTTCTCTGACAGCTTCTTCGTTCTCACTACTTTCCTATCTCCTTTCTGTTTTTACATCATGCCAGCCTCAGCTTTACTGGCTGTCAGAACCAAATTCACTTAAATGTTCTTTGACTGCGACCTATTTCATATCAGTGAATTAAGTTGCTGCATTAAGCTTGCTAGTGCAACCTCTGGTGTGCCGGAAGCAGCACTGATTCAGCCCCCTTGCTTTGGTAGGTAACACACACTGGTGGTTTGGGGGTGGATGTGACCTCACACCTACATACCTGAACCAAGAGGACGCTGTCCATTTTCATCGCACTCTAAAGGAAGCTTGTGACCAGCATGGACCAGATATGTACCCCAAATTTAAAAAATGGTAAGCTGTTGAGACCGTGTTTCCAGTAATCTTTTATGGACCTTATTTATAGAAGACTATGCAAAGAACTCTTTCCAAGTTAAGGACAATGTTTAGCATTAGTAAGTGGTGTCTTAGGAGACTTGTTTTATTAGACAGAGGACGAAAGCATCCAGATGGGTTGATGGCTTCTTGTGCTGACTCAGAAGGGTAACCTTTAGCACACATGAAGACCTTCTGTAAACATTTCCTTCTGCCAGCCTTTCCCCAGCTGGGCATGCTTCAGAGTCACCCCTTCTAATACTGAAAGACACCTACAGTCTTCATGGCATCCTGCTTTTGGTGAATGAAGACTCAACATATAAGAGCTGAGGCTTGAACCCCAACTGGTGTCAGTGTTAGGAGACCCTCATGCTCTGCCTCCTGGAAAAGCAAGTGTTCCAGCAGGTGGTAGCACTTGCTTTAAAGCTGCACTCTTGTTTTATTTGTGGAAGTTCTTAGGGTTCCTTAGCCTGAAGAGTGCCTTGTTTTGAACTGCCTGGTTGCCCTGCAGTTGAGAGTACATGCATGTCATGCATGGGTAATAGCCACAGAAAATCTGGCCAAAGTTCTAGTTTCATAGCTATATACAAAATAAAGATCTTAATGGTGTGAGTCAAGGAGAGTGCTTTGAGCCTAAAAGCGTGTATCTATTTCCATGTCTCTCTCATCTTACGTTTTGGCCCATGATTTAATTCTACTGAATGTTCTAGGTGTGATGACTACTTCTATATAGTGCATCGTGGAGAGCGGAGGGGCATTGGAGGCATCTTTTTCGATGATCTCAACTCTCCATCCAAGGAGGAAGTATTCCGCTTCGTTAAGACGTGTGCTGAAGCTGTGGTTCCTTCTTACGTTCCCATTGTGAAAAAGCACTGTGATGACTCCTTCACCCCCCAGGATAAGCTGTGGCAGCAGCTGAGGAGAGGAAGGTGAGTGGTCGAAGAAGAACACGAACTGTCTCTCTGTACAACGTACAGAAGTGGTGGAGGTTCTAGTATAAAAGTGGCTATTGAATTGTTCTGGTCAAAAGCTTTATGATTAGTCTCATGAATCCACACTGTTCATTTTTTCTTAAGTAGATGAATACTAAAAGTGAATTTAATAGCATTGTATAATAATCAACATCACAAGGTTTACTCAATTCACATACACACACTGACGCACACACTCATTCACACACCCACACACTCACACTCACATACATACACACACATATTCATGGTAGATTCATAGGCCATATAAGAATAAGTACTTGTAGAATTTAATTCTCTTCATTTCCTAATGATAGTTTCTATCCTTCTGTTAAGATGAGGGCATCATTTAAGTTTTTTTTTCTGCTTATAAAGTTGTAGTCACACTTAAAAAAAATTCATCTTAAATATATTATGAAAGCAATTTTAATACAAATAATTCATTCTTAATGATAATTTTTACTTATTTTGGACCTCTTACTATGCATAGCCCCTGTAGGAGGTATTTTGTATCTGGTTTGCCTAGGAAACCTGTGGTACACATGGCACCATCATTTTACTGATCATAAGGTGTCCTTATCAAGTTAATGCCTTTGGGTCCCATAATATTCCAGATGTGAAACTGAATCATTCTGTATGTTCTTTTCACCCTTTTCCCCAGCCCCTGACTCTGTGTGGAACTTGGTGAGTTCATGGCTGGTGGAATAAGTTGTCTTCAATGTTGTGATATATTACGTATTTTATTAAAGCTTGCCTGAGGATTCAGAAGCAAAGTCAGCCACAAATCATAGAAGCTTGCTTCACATGTCAATCCCAGTTCCTTCTCTCCCCCTCCTCCCTTCCCCCTCCACCAGGACCCCACATACCATTCCCCAGGGAGGGTGAGGCCCTCCTTGGGGGATCTCCAGAGTCTGTGTGGGATGGGCTCCCAAAGTTCATTCGAACGCCATGGTAAACTCTGATCTACTATTCAAGGCCACTCTTAGGTGATGCTTTTACTACTTAGATAAAACGACAATATTTTCTTTTTCATCATTTGATGGCACCATTCTGTGAGTTCTACTCTGTGTCTCATTGCCTGTCCATTCTCTTTTGCCTTAGGAAATGTGTGAAGTGTTAGATTAATTCCTCATGGCTTAGTTGTCACTAATGTTCAAATAAAAGCTCTCTGTCTGGGTTGGAAGATAGCAGTGGACTCTGGGGATTAAGATAACCCCAGCATAATTGTAAAGGCGCCTAGGGGTCAGCAACAGCTTCAGTTCTTACTCTGACTTCAAAACTCGCTATCTGTGCCTTTTACAGATCTTTCGCCTCCCCCGCCCCTAAAAAGACTGCCCCTTTCAGGACTCACTAGGATTCCCTTTTGACTTTATTTACACTCTCTTACTTGTGCATGTCATCTAGTTGGCTGTCTCAGTTACTACTGTCCTCTTCTTAGACCTTAGTCTCCTAGTCATCTTTCCATAGGAAAAGAGGACCTAAATTTGAACTAATTTTTCTTTTCTTACTTTTGGGAAAGGAAGAACAGCAGCATAGAATAGAAGCATTTGTGAGATTGAAGGAAGATTTTACAGCCTGTGGATTATAGGAACAGCAGTGGCTGGATGCTGACGTTAGAAACAGTAGAAAGGTCAGGTCCAAGTGAAAACTTACAGAGTCAACTCAGACGATACAAGGGAGCATCGTGACTCACAAAAGAACAGGGACATGCTACACAGTGCATCTTGAGAATTCCTGCATAACAGTCTTTGAGATGGGTCTCCAAAGTTGTTAGAGATAGAACATACAGTAGACAGGCAATGCTAAGTGAAGAAGGTTTCGAAGAGGGGAAATCCTTTCCCCTCAGATTCAGGAATGAGGTCTTTTTTTTGCTTAATCTTTTGAGACAGGCAGAAAAAGGAATAAAATAGTCATTAGTGCATGAAAGCCAGTCAGTGACAAAGAAGATGGAGATAGAAAGGAACCCATAGAGACAGTTGCTTAAATTATTATAGGTTTTCTGATAAACTTCCACACAAAGCTTGTCTTTCCAAAAGAGGAGTACTATGGGATTCTCCAGGAGTTTTCTGTTTGTTACTTTGCTTTGTTTTGTTTTTGCTGTTGATGGGCTTAAGGACAGCAACTTGTGCACTAAATAAGAATCTCTGAGAGGAGTTTGGACTGAGAGTGACTCCTGAATGAGTTGGAAAATGACTGGAAGGGGGCTTTGGAGAAACTTAGGTTTATGAATCGTTCTGAATTCTTTTAAATAATTTATTTACTTTTATTTCATTTGCATTGGTGTTTTGCCTGCATGTATGCTGTGTGAGTGTGTCAGATCTTGGAGTTAGAGACAGTTGTTAACTGCCATGTGGACTTGAACCCGGATCCTCTGGAACTGCGGTCAGCCCTCTTAACCACTTAACCATCTCTCCAGCCCTCACTTTGAATTCCTTAGGACAGTAGAACTCACAGTTTTAGGTTTGAAAAGACTTTTAAATACTATGATATTTAAGGCAGAAACAGATGTTTAGGCTAGGTGGAATTCAAATCTGTTTTCCTAGCAGTGAGTAGAAAATTTGGACAATACACTGTACCTAACTTTAGTTGGTACCAAAGATATTTTCATAAAGAAAAAAAAGAGGGGAAAACTAAGCACTGAACCACAAGCAGTAGCTCTCACAGTGATGGCTGTAAACGGAGGCGGAATGAGCAGTCCGTCTCTGGATGCAGTGAACTTCTGTAGTGAGGGAGCAGGATCTGGGCGTTGTTAGTTGTTAACTGATGACTCCTTGCTTAGTGGTACTTGGTCCTTACCTGTAGATGTTCAGCACTCCTAGTGGAGTGCTCTGAGGCTGAGTGAGATGAAGCCCTCTTTCTGAAACGCCTTGTGCTGCAGTGAGGACCGGAGCTGTGTTACCCATGAAAGAACGCTGTTTCTTTCTCAATTGTTGGGCATGCCTGCTCCCAATTGGTGTTTGAACATAACCGTCTTGGTTTGTGACTGCTCTGCTTTGGTGCCATCTGTATCCCATTGTTGGGTGGGTAGAATACCCTTTTACTTATGCTTCCCGGAGGAGACAGCCCCATCGACTGTGAGCGCTTCCCCGGAGGAGACAGCCCCATCGACTGTGAGCACTTCCCCGGAGGAGACAGCCCCATCGACTGTGAGCACTTCTGTGTGGTGGCTCCCAGGTGTCAGGGGTCTGGAGAGAAGCTATCAGTGTTCCTTAGGGACTTCTGGAAGTTTCCACTCAGTACACCCTTACTGGTTTTTGTTTTTGTTTTGTTTTGTTTTGTTTTTCATCTACATTATTTTATTTGGAAACGTTTATAACAGTACAGTGAAAGTAAACTTCAGAGACAATGGCTGTCATTAGTTTAGGCATCATCAGGGTTTTGTTTTGTTTTGATTTTCTTTTTATATATATAAAAGAGAGGCGTGGAAATTATTTACAGGATAAATAGTTAAGAATATCAGTGGAATGGGCAGCTTCATGTGACATGATTTCAACAGTGATTTCAGTCCACATACTTTCCAAATGTCACCATCTCAAATAAGAAGTAAGCCTTGTCCTCTAGAACGACTTTGGTGCCTCCATATTCTGGGAGAAGAACTTTGTGTACAACTTTCACACTGAGCAGTTGGATCTCTCCGCCCTTTCCTTTCTCGCCTGATTTCACAGCTACTACTATTGCTTGCGATATTTTTCCTTGAGACTTTTCTGGAAGCAGAGTGCCAGCCCTTGTTATAGTTTTGGTGGCACTCCTTTTAACCAGTACTTGCCAAAGAGTGGAAGAAGCTCCCAAAGCTTGTTTGGCCATGGCTTGGCTGCTGCTGCAGCTCTGACTCTGCACTTGAGGCCATTCCTGCGGGCCAGCTCATGACGTGTGGAAAAGAAAAACAACACAAAACACCACACCCTTATTGTTATTTGATGTCTTTTTGACAGGTACGTAGAGTTTAATCTGTTGTATGACCGTGGCACCAAGTTTGGCCTCTTTACTCCGGGATCCAGAATTGAAAGCATCCTAATGTCCTTACCTCTAACGGCCAGGTAAGGAGACAGCTCATCGAAGTCATTGTCCCCTCCAGTCCCTGTGCCCTACAGAATCTGCACATTAACCCTGGCAGTGTCTTACCTGAAGCTTTATCTGTTTTCATTTTGCTGGTTTTATAAGGAAATCGTGGGTGAATAAGACACATCAAATTGGATTTTGGAAGAAGTGACAGGATGAATGTCACAGCTTTGTGTCTGAGGACCTGGAGAAGCACAGGGGAGGGAGTGGTGCCTGAGGACCTGGAGAAGCACAGGGGAGGGAATGGTGCCTGAGGGTTTAAGGTTGATGTTCTGGAAAGATACATGTGTAAAAATTAAGCTAATATCCACCTATGTATCATCTAAGGTTCTGCACTTCATGAAACCCTGGTTTATAATCAGAGTGTATTTTGACTTTAGGATCTTAATATTAACCCAGATGTGCCTAAGAATTATTCAGAAATTTAGCCTCTTAAGTAGCAGGGTTTTTGTTTTGTTTTGTTTTGTTTTGTTTTTTAATGTGAGAATGCAAGGCAGGGTAGGCTTTCCTTTACTCTTAGGGTTGGTTTTAGTCTTCATTGATCATGAATGTCATTTATTGTTATTTTGTTTGCATTTTCTTGCTTTGTTTTGGATGTGTATAGATGGGAATACATGTATTCGCCACCAGAGAACTCCAAGGAAGCCGAGATTCTGGAAGTATTGCGCCATCCGAAGGACTGGGTACATTGATACAGCAGTGTTGTTCCAGGGCCTGGTGGACACAGGTGTGGCTTCCTGCACTGCTGCCACTGTGTGACAGGCAATCGTCTGTGCCTTACTGTCCCAGCGGTCTCCACTCTGGGCACCACCTCTGTGGCAGGTGGTTTTCCGTCTTTCCGGTGCTGTGGGGGGAGGAGCAATGATGGGTGGTGATGTAAAAATGCCAGATTCGTTGGATGTAAGAAACCATTTGTACTTTTATAATCATGTTCAGTGACCCGTTAATTTGACATTGGGTTTCCAGGTCTTAAGATAAGGGAATGTAAATATTATAATACGGATCAGGAAACTCTTCATTTTATTTGTTGCTTCAAGTTTTTTGCCACAGGAATTTATCAGCGGATATGTTTTATCTTAACTAGTTCAGCCAAGTTGGCCTTCTCGGTAACTTTAGAATGTAGTTTGAAGCCTGGTGCTCAGGAGGCAAAGGCAGGTGGATCTCCGTGAGTTCAAGGCCAGCCTGGTCTACAGAGTGAGTGCCAGGACAGCCAAGGCCTGCAGAGAAACCCTGTCTTGAAAAGCCAACACAAATACAAGAGATATGTTTTCCTTTGTCATTTTTGAAGTTTCTTTGACATAACTGTCATGTGTCTCTCTATATTGACTAGAATATTATAAAAATACTCTTTAAAAAAAAAGAATAAAGATAGGTATTTTGGAGCACTTGAAATTTTCTTAAGTCAGTTCCTGCATTATAATTCAATGGTGACCTATAGTTTACAACTGTAAATGGCATTATTTAAATAAGGGACATCTACGTGGTTTTTTTTTGTGGGATGATAATTTGTTGACATTAGGATTCTATGTACTTTTTAAAGCAAAAACTTATATCCCTGGATGCTAATACTTAAGAGTTTTATATTTCAGACATTTAATATGGGAGCTTAGACTAAGAGCAAATGAAGAGCTTTAGAGAGAAGCCTTTTCCTTGCCAGCCTCTTTGGTTTTTCCCCACCAGTCGCTTGGGCTCTGCCATGTTGTAGTCCCCAAATAACACACAAGACGCTGTATTAATTATAAAGCTGTTGGCCTTGTTTGTTTCTTACTGGCTATCTCTGACTTAAGTATTTACCCCATAACTGCCAATCTAAGTATTTCTCTTACCGGAGAAAAGTTTCCGGACTTCTTACCCCTATGGCGGTTACATCTTGACTCCCTATGTTTCTCCTACCCAGAGTCCTCCTGGACTCCTAGTCCCACCTATCTTGCTTTCCTACTGGCCAACAGTGCTTTATTGACATATACACAGGACTTCCCCCATCAAAGAACATTTTCCTTCTTTAATTAAAATGAATGGGACTAGTCTAACACGTGGGCATTTTATATTTCTTAAAAAACGGACCAATTGCAATTGTCCTACTTTTTGAAATTAGAAATTCCTCAACGTTTATCTTTTCTCTTAGAAGTCACAGCATATTTCTTAATGCATGGTTTATCTGTCTAATAATCATGTGACTGCACTGTCTTACTTGAGTCCTAATATATTGAATTTTGTAATAAATTGTATTTATGAGCATCGTCTCATAAATATTTAAATATTATCCTGGGATGTGTTGAATGTATGTGATTGTGTTTGGCTCTTTCAGGGTAAGAAAATCTCCAGATTCTTCCATGTGTCTTATATAGATCCAGCTAATAAATTTTATTTTGAAATAAGACAAGTAAGAATTTGTAGTCTTTATTTTATTGCGATGACTTAGGAATACAAATATTTCTCAGTGTTAAAACCATAGTTCCTACTAGAAGAAACCATCCTGAGTGAGGTAACCCAGTCACAAAAAGAGAAACATGGCATGTACTCTTTCATATATGGATTTTAGACATAGATCTGGGGAGTGCCAGCCTACAATCCTATGGCCAGAGAGTCTGGGAAACAGAAACTTCATTTAGTGGCTGATCGAAGAAGAGGCAGACTCCCTTGGTTAAGTACTGAGCTGAACTCAAGAAACCCAGTAACAGAGAGGGAGGACTGGTGATCAAAGGGATTAAGACTGGGCTGGTTTAACCCCCAGAAACAGCTGACCAGACAAAGGTTAACTCTTGAATCCCAGGCATCAGCCTGGGAATCCAGCATGGGACTGATCAAGACCCCCTGAATCTGGGTGTCAGTGAGGAGGCCTAGGGAATCTATTGAGCCTTGGGCAGCAGATCAGTACCCATCCCAAGTATACACACGGACTTTGGACTCCCATAGAACAATGTGAGGTATACTCTCACCCTGAACTCTTGGGGAAGGGTCTAGGCCCTGCCCTATATGAAATGACAGACTATGGACACCCCCATGGAGGGCCTCACCCTCCCTGGGGGAATGAGGTGATAATGGGGGGGGCACAGGAGGAGGGGAGGGAAAGGGAGAGGGACCTGGAACTGACTTGTGAAGCAACCTTGTTTCTTATCTAAATTTAAACTGGAAAATAAAATATATAAAAAAACCCATAGTTCCTTATTACAATGTGTTTTATCCAAGAGAAATATAAATTTTGCATTTCATTTTCTTAGCAGTTTTAGTAAGAACAGACAAAATTAAAAGAACTTCAAATGGCAAATTAGCAGGTAAATGGACAAACAACTTGTGACTACACAAGGAGTAAGATACTGAGCAACAAAAAAGGAATATCACCTGAAAACAACAGTGTGGGAGGCATCAGAGGTACCACACCAAGAGACGGAAGCCAGACACAAAAAGAACATGCTGTCAAATGTCACCTTAGGCAGGGAAGCAGGTCTGTGGCTGCCACCGGCTTCAGGTGGGGAGCTAATGGTGCTTTCTGTGCTATGACAGAGGTGATAATGGTTATTAGACTCTGTACATTATCGCTTCTCTGCCTTTTGGCTAAGATCAAGTGTAGACTCTGTACATTTATCAAAATTCACTGAACTCATAAAGCTTTCTTGTATCTGTGGGTCATATTTCAGTACTAATGATTTGGAGGAAAAACATAAGAACAGATATTTAAATACACTTGTCTGGTTACCTTTTAAGAACTGAAAATGTCAAGCTGAGCATATGGTTCAATGGTAGAGCCTGCCTAGCATGTGTAAAGCCTTGGGTTTTATTCCCAGAGCTAGGGGGGAGGGGATCATACAGATCTCTGGCTGACTTAGTGGTGTTTAAGGTTTGTATGTGGTAGACACAAGACAAAGATGAAAATTTGAAATCCTGTACATCTGTTTTGAATTCTTGAGTAACCACTGTGGAGCCATGTATGGGAGACCAGTAACAACTGCAAACTTGAAGATAATTCTGTTCTTCAAAGTGAAATTGTTCTTTCACAATCTTACTGATGTTATACTGAATTTACCAGATGAGGGCACACACCCATGTGGATAATCACCTAACTCCTGTCATCTTACACAGGCATGCAGTTGGTTATAAGGGTGTGTCAGGAGAGATGTAAATGCACAGGGACAGGTATCTAACTCTCCCACGACTGTGCTGTGCTTGCTTAGAGTAGTCTGATCTCTATTACTGTGGTGAAATAGCAAAGGCTGGACATTTCATAATGGTTTGGATTGTTGTTTTGAATGCTCATGCAGCTCCATTAGTTTGACCTCTCTGGAGGGCCCTTGTGGCTGGGCCAACATGGAGGAGAAGAAGGAAGGGAGATGGTCATCTACAGTAGAGGTCAAGCATGTGCAATGGATATCCTTTATAACAACACACTCTCATGAGAACTAACTTCTGAGGAATCAGTGTTTATCCCTTCCCAGGGCGGTGTGCCCAGTGACCTAACTACTTCATATTAGGCAAGATTACTTCAAATTTCCACCACCTCAAAATCCTTGCAGAGAGGACAAAGTCTACAATGTGTGACCCTCCAGGAGCCAAACAATAGGGGTCAGCTGTTGGGCATGTCCAGATCAGCCAGAGAGTATATTTCTATGGGATGCATCTTTTCATGTGTCTTTTGTCATGATTTAACAGACACAACTCACAGGACAGTTTGAAATGCAATGTGTGAGTTTCCTCCATATTAGACAGTGGGTCATGATGCCCCCTGGTGGCTCGGAACATGTACTCCATGGGACAAAATGGAAGCAGCAGATTGGTTTTCTGATCTAACCTCTGAATTGTCACTTGTTCCAGATTCCACTGGTTACAAAGGAGTTCACATTCAAGGGGTAGGGAACTAGTTCGCAGTAGCCTGCTTGTCTCTAGTCACTCTGGGTCCTTCAGAGTTGTTTATGTAGGTCCCATTGCCACTTCCACACTGAATATTCAAAGCAAGTCCTATAGAAAATCCGAAGTTGGCCTGTCACCGAAACCAGCCCATTGTTTGGCTCCGGCTGCTCTTTACCTCTTCTGTGTTTCTTTCAGTCGCTTTGCCTTCAGACTATTTTCTGAGCATCCTTTCAGATATTCCACCTTGGACCTTCTGGAAATTGCTCTCTTTGCTTGGACTCTTTCATGTGCTTGTCCAGCATTCCGATGCTTAATTCAAATCTCTAAGAATCCTGTCCTGGTAATAGTCTCACCTGCTTATTCAGCACATTCCTTATTTTTATTATTACTCTCATCACAGAAGTCATCCAGTATAAATTTTATTAAAGTATGTAAGATGGTACTTTATTTACATTCCTAAGGAGTGCCTTGTTAATCCTTTGTTTCCTGGGTTTTTGCAGAACACTATGACATCAAACTTAACTTTGTGTAATGAATCCTAATCTGTGAAAGCAGAGTTCCAAGGGTCCATCTAGAAAAACCCATTTAGAAATTGTGTTCCTGCCACAAATATTATCAATGCATTTGAAAGCACACATTCTAAAGTTGAGTTCCTCCCAGAGAAATATACCTTTCTTATATCTTATTTCATAATAAACCTTAATCAGAACCCTTGAATTAGTGAGACTTGGGTGCTTGCAAATGCTTGACTAATCCCCTGGGTTCCCTGAATCCCAGTCACAATAGAGAACCTCACAGACTGGTTTCTACCAGTGGTTTTACATCAAGCCCACACTGAGGTGTGCCAGCAGCGCAAGGTAAGCAAACCGCATTCCCTCTTCCCTGCAGAGTTCTTGGTTCAAGTCTAGAAGACAAATCATTCAACTGGTATTTCAAAGTGTCTTTCGCCTGCAGTTTCTTGTCTTTTTTTATGTTTCAGAAGCATGCTTTAACATGAAACTTGGCATGATTTAACCAGCCATATTCTCAACAAGGTTATCACAAAGCTGGCCATGGGATGACAATCACCACATTGTCCTGTTCTGGTAATGGTAATTTGTGTATGAAATCGTTGGTGAGGCCTCCAACTAAAGTTCACTTTAGTAATAAGCTAACACATTTATAAATTAGGCTTCATGGTTATTTTCTTTCCCATGTTCGTTTTTCAATTGGGTAAGGCAGGAAGCCCTTTTCATAATCTGTTCCATCCTAACTACAAGTATAATGTGTGAATGCAACCCAACTTACCAAATTCTTGAAGTTGTAGCTTCACTTTTAAAAACAATAGGTTCAATAACTATCCCTTAAAATAATTTAATTATAGTATCTCCCACAATACAACTTAGCAGTTTGTGCTGAAAGTAGTTTTTATTCTGTAAAGTGCAATCCCTACTCAACATGAAGGAGAGATGGTTCAGCAGTTAATAGCCCTAGCTGTTTCTCCAGAGGACACAGATTTAATTCCCAGCACCCATGTGGTAGTTGACAACTGTCTGTAACTCCAATTCCAGAGGACCTGGCAGCCTCACACAGAAACACATGTGGGCAAAACACCAATGCACATAAAATAAATAATTAAAATACAGGAAGCATTGAACAAAGACGTACTTTCCCTCATTTTAGTAAGGAATGGGACATATATCACCTACCTTGTTAATAGTCTTCTCAGCTGACACTGGCATGTGCAGAGAGACAGGTTATCCCTGAGATCCTGGAATCACTGATTCACGGAATCTTAGTGCACAACGAAGTGGTTGCTGTGATACGTCATTAAATGTGAGGTTTGTTAAACAGCAATCAATAGTTGGAACGTGGTAGGTGCCACTTACAAAATCAGAGCAGTGCAGGGGGTGGCGGAGCTTTTGGATGAGCTTAA